AGGATTAGGCCCATTAACATAAGCCCAGTTACAAGATAAGTTAAACATAAGAATGGGCTAATAAGAACTCTTATCAGCCGAACATCACTCTAACATTCTAACAGATAGATCAGTTGTGAAGAAGTATGAAAAACCTTGTCTGTTTTCTCCTTCCAGTAACACCACCACCAATACATATGTAGCCAATCTATATTTTCTAACAGCAGCAAAAGCATTTCAGTTTTTTTTTCTGTTATCTATTTTGCGATTGGATAAGCATTTGTTTAGGAGTCTTTGTTCTCTAATTTATTTATTTAACTATTCAATTAGGAATGCTACCAACTTGTTCTTTGTGTGTAGATAAAGTGTATTCATTAAGGGCATATAAAGACTCTGGTACTAATGATGGAATTAATACTCTCTTAACAATGCGCCGCCCCCATTAGAAAATGTAGAAAACCCCTTACACCTTGCCAACCTGAATTTATCAATTGCATTGGAATCTCTTCCAAAACTGGTGGGAGATAGGCCCAAGTCAAAGAAGCACCTGGAGAGACTTCGAGGATCTCAATCTAACACCTTGCTAGATTGTTATTATTACTAATTCAAACACCTTGGTTTTATTTTGGGGCTGATTAGTAGCACTTTAGACTTAATATCTTAGGTTTGGATTTGAATAAGGACTATTTTGGAAATTTATTGTCTTGTCAGAGTCAAGTATAGTTTTGTTGTTAGAAGATTTTAAGATAGAAGGTCAAGTCTAGATTAGGAGTTTCATTCTTAGGTTTAGATCAAATTATGTCAAAAGTTATACACCTACTATTATAAACGGTTTTTAATAAATGTATTGCAGGCATTTACAGATATTGTTTGCCTGGTATGAAGCCATACCAAAGGAGCAACTCCTTCAGTTGTAGCTGACTAGCTGTTGATGCCTGGAGTAAATATTGGTGATTATTCCAATGGTTTATCTTCTTATTTCCTCGTGTTTCTTCTCCCTTTATTTGAAATTTGATAGTTTTGATTTTCTACATTACATAGTTCAACCAACCCCTTCTCTGTATGTGAAGTTTATATGGCACTCTAGAACAGCAGAACCCTTGGCCAACCCCTTTTACACTCACTCCAGCTTTGGAACTTTCTTCCCTTCATTTACACTAATCAACAATATCGATTTTCCTAGATAAAATCCAACAAACTCTGATTATAGCACAGTCCCCTTCCTAATTGACCCAAGCAACAGACTTAGGAACCCCATAAGCTTCAGTCCAGTTTATCTCTGCAGTGTACTGATCCTCCCTAAAGATTCTGCAATCACAATTAAACCTCTTAGAGGAAGATCCTCATTGATTATAAGATTTCCAGCAATGATACATTCCCATTGTTGTAAGGCTAGCAATGCTATATCGAGCAGAGTGTTACGCAGTAAAGAAACATGTCCAAAAAGTGAGTGTGGAAGAAATGTGTATATTGAGATGGATGAGTGGAAAAAATAAAAAGGATAGGGTCAGAAATGAAGTTATTCAAAAGAACCTAGGAGTAGTTTCCATAGATGATAAAATGAGAGAAAGTAGACTTAGATGGTTCAGTCATGTGCATAGAAGATCACCTAAAAGCATCCATAAGGTAATCAGTTACAACTTACAAGTTGAAGGCGCTAAAAGGGCTACGGGTAGACCAAAAAGGACATGGATCAAAGTAGTAACAAATGATTTAAGTACTCATAATTTAACAACGGATATGCCACAAAACAGAACAGAACGGCCAAACAGGATCCATGTAGCCGAACCCATATAAATGGGATAAGGCTTAGATGATGATGATCCATCCCACTGTTTCCATGGTTTGACACAACAGAAACCAGTTTTCATTTGATTGACAAGCAAAATACCTTCAATGGAAGGTTGAAATCTTAACTCTAACCTTTGTGCATGATTTTCCACACGCTTATTTAAAGCTTGCTTGGTAGTGGAATATCCAGAACCAATAAAAAAAAAGAATCTATCACTAATTGAACACATGGTGTTATGACCCTACAAGTAGAAACTTGTATTTTGCTTGCAATTACTGTTTGCATAGATGCTTTTTTTGTATCACAGTCACAACCTGCCTGATATTATGACAGATATGTTTAGATGTAGCACTTCTTTTCTAAGTGCAAACAGTTGTATAGAAATGATATAAAATTTACTTTATGATCAAGAAACAGAACAATCATGGCCAAGTATAAGAATTATCAGTAGATATATCATGCCTGTTCTTTGAAAATAACAGTTGCAGCATCAAGAAGAAATTCTCTAGCAAGTTCAGGACTCTTTGCATGCTTTTGGGGACGGGAGTTTTCTCCATCCAGCTCATTTCCATCCTTGTCCATGGAATCATCATCCTGCATGTACAGACGACCAGAAACCACACAAGGAAGCTTCAAACACATTTTCTATGAAAGCAATACAAGAAATCAAATGGCCAGCAAAAATAATAGTCAACAGGTTAAAGTCATAGGTTACCTCTTCTTCCTCTGCTTCTTCAGCATGCTCAAAAAAACGTCTGATACTTTCCCCTTTTGTTATTGTAACAAATCCATCCCCAACAACAAGCCTTCGATGGACACAAGGTTGACCCTTCAAAGCATGGGCTTTAACAGAAAGTTCGGTACAGCGGCCATCTAGCTTCCAAGCCCTCACTGTAATAAAACATGAATTCAAACCACCAAGGTCAAGGCCATTTACTTGAACACTTCCATTCATGCCAACATCTTCAAATTCTAGAATATCAGATTTTCCTTCTCCTGTTCCAAGAGCCCATTCAAAGTGATGGTATGTTCCAACATTGTCAATGAATGACTGGTGCCAATCAGCATGTACTGTGTCATCAGATACCTGGAAGGAACAGAGCATGACTTCAGGCAATACTGGTGAAAATTCTCAAAACAATTCTAAAATCGTAGACACATGCTTTTACAGAAAAATCAAAATTCCCTACCTAGTTCAAGCAGTCATTCTAACTTCAAGGTGATCTTCTATAGGCAGTTTAGAGCCAAGTAAGAACTAACAAGGCATGGAGCAGGATCTTACAAGTGTCAAATGTGAGAAGCTCCTAATTTACAAAGTGTCTTAGGGCATGTATACCGTAAAGAGAACATATGCACATATATGTGTATATGTGAAGGATGAAGATAATTTGTACTTTTTTTATCAATGAAGATAATTTGTACTTAGAAAAGTTTTTCTTATCAGTAATAAACATGAATGGTGTAAATGATGTGCTAAGCAGCCCGTATAATCAAACCATTGCAACCCATCCTTAATTATTCATACTAAAAGGTCAAATTACACCTCTTTTCTCCTCAAAATGGTTGTGTCCTGTTCACTCCTTGTCTAGCCAGGTATAACTGTATCAGCCATACAGCCCACCATTAACTGATCTAAGTGTTCATTTAAATGTTACCCATAGTTTTCTCAACAATTTTGTTATTTCTCTTATTTTTTGCCTATGGAAAGAAGAGCCTATGCTATTACGAGAAAGTGAGCCCGTAACAATCTTCATGTTCTGTTTTTTCCACTGATAATATCCACCAATCACCTGCCAAGTGCAACTCTTAGTGTCACAGTGTCAAGTGTCAACTTCTCCAAACCTCCGTTTCTACTTCTGGAGTTGTGCTTCCACGGATAATAGGCCCATAGTTGATACTTCAACCTTTGTGGAGAATCAATTATTATATCATCCTGGATCTGTGTATGGCCTGATATCTGGAAACCAGGATCCTAGCAACTTCAAGCTCTTGCAATTTAAGGGTGGATTCTGCAATGTCACTGAATCCACTGCAAAGTTCTCCAGTGCATCTTAATGTTCTATTTCACAGATTAAAGGTTATCCAATTACCCTGATTTCCACCTTGAAGAGTGTAGTGCAATATCATGTTGGATGTAGGACACCATTTGATAGTGTCATTGCCCCCATGTTCACAAATGGCACCACTCTATTCTTCTCAAACGGTCTCAAGGTGAAATCATTATGCAAAGATATTTTATCTTTCAGCATTTCTGCTATACTTCCCTGATCATGTACCCCCATCCAGGTGGTTATGAAAGTGCTACTGAATAAGGTTTCTTCCTCCACTGTTATTATCAGAATTGAGAATTTCTTCGCCATAAGGAGGTGCCTTGTCTTTTTGCTCATTTGCATATTTTTTAAGACTTTTACCAACTTCCTCCACCTTTTGAGCTTCCAATTTTTTCTCTTCTAAAAATTTTTTGCAGAATAACTGAATCTAATCTCCAGCTTTTTGTTGTCTTCCTTCTGGAAAACAAACTATTTGTTTTTTATCCTGTCAAAGTTTTCTTTCACCATTATAAATCTTCCTTTTGGATTTTGTTTCCTTCCTGCAAGACAACTTCTGTTTCCTTTTGCTTCATTTTCCATTCAAGCAGCTAGTATGGGTAAATGGCACCAACCACAAGTCCTTTCCCATCAATCATTGCAGTGACTTACCTGATTCTCTGATCTTCAAGAGCACTCCTTTTCTATAATTTATTCAAATATAAATTTATTGGCTTTGAATGCAATCTGCTTACTCCATTTGTTTGCAGATCTTAAGTTCTCCAGAATATTTCTACTTTAAGAAATTAGCAATGTATGTGTGTTAGAGAAACTTGAATATCTTAATCAAGTACTATTTGAATGTGTAAGAGGGGGGACTTAGTTTGGAAAGGTGCACTGTGTACTGTGTAGACAGATTTTGAGGGGAGTTTGTGAAAGATAAAGTAGGAATTGTGTGAAAGGGAAATTAGGGACTGCATTAACCCCACATTGAAAAGGAGAGAAGAACCTATTCTACTCCCTACCCTGTATTTAAAGGATAGCCTTTCTCCTACTCCACTTTTTTAGGAGCATTTTCCCTTTCTAACTTAACCAACCATGACTTGAAGTGTAGAAAAACTCCCACTTCCACCTTGTTAATGGTTACTAAGGTTTAGAAAGAGGGAAAGAAGGATTACACCTGAAAGTGCTTAGAAGCCACAGGCCCACAGCATGACAAAAGAAAAGAAAAACAGAAAAGAACTCAATCAAAATAGATTTTTCTGTAAAACCTGATAAGAGATGCACAGTGCACGAACCAGAGAAGCATTGACATAGAAGTCTGTGTGATAGGCCCCAACTATCCATTCGGACCCACAACATGAGACCCAGGCCAAGACACACATCAACCAGGTCCAACACAAGAGAAACACCTGATCACCCATGTGCAACCTCCACTGAGGTTCGTTTACATGAGGAGGCCACGTCCCTCCAGTTAGTTAGCAGTCACAGTCTAGTCCATGTGCAGGAGAGACTGAAGAGAGAGTATAAATAATTGTAACCCCCCATCTATTCGAGGCATGAAATGAAATAATCCTTTAGTCTTCTACCATCTCTCCCTTCTTCCTCTCTTCCTCTCTCTCTCGTCCATTTCAGGAGGGTGAGCTCCCTCGAACCAGCTCAGATTCTCAGAATTCAAAGTGGTCCTATCAATTGGTATCAGAGCCAGGTTGATCCATGGATGCGCAGGTGACAAGGCTTGAAGGCAGTCTCAGTCGTCTTGAGGGAAGTCTAAGGAATCAGAAAGGAATTCTGGCCGAGCTGAAGATGATTTTAGACAGGCTTGGCACAATGGTTGGTTCTCTAGAAGAGCATAGTCGCCGAGCTCCTTCCGTCAACACTCATTTCGGAGAAAATGGAGGATCGAAGCTGATAGAGAACATTGGAAAGCCAATAACGACAACGAGATCATCATCAGGAGTTGAGACTTCAACCCTAGCAACGAGCTCAGCGATGTTAGGTGACAAAATAGGGGAGGTGGTACAGAAGGGCGGTGTGAAGACTATAACCCTATCCATCATTATCCATGTAGCCCGACCCCTGGTCCCTGGTCCCTGTTCTCTTCCCTCTCACTCTCTCACTTAAATCGAGCCTGTCCATACCCAGCCCAGATCCGTCTCAGTTGTTCAACCTCTGGTCATCATTTTCGTTGGCGGCAACCATAACCCGACCTATCTCACCATGCCACCTGAAACCCGTCTCTGTCCACCCTCCAGTTTTACAGATCCCTATTCTTTCTCTTCTTCCATGGCTCCCTAGTGACAACCATGAGTTCTGGTACATTGTTGGAGTTAGGCCCGGTGGCCACAGAACCTTCGACCACGAAGATTGCATTGGACGTGTGCTTGTATCCACCAAGTTGTTACAATGTCGGCAGATTCTTTCGATCATTGACAATGATGCCAAAATAGCTAAGGCAGACTCAATGATTTGGGTTTTGGTTCCAACAAGACCTCTAGACACAGGTCAACAACGAAAGGGGGAAATGATAGGTGATGGTGAGAATCCAAGCATCTTTAATGTAGTCGTTGTTCACCTTGTCCATTCTAGCATCTCCAGTGGTGCCATATCCTATATCTGGGTGGATATTGTTGTTGTGAGTATGTTCAGGCAGTTTGGAGTTGGATTAATTAGTGCTCATCATTTGTCATTGTCGTCATTGTCCCGGCCTCAGCTACACTCTCACCAAAGAAGATGAAATATGAAGATTTCTGCCATATTGCTTCTGTATGTACGGAGCAAATAGGTCCAAGGTGTTGATGGTTTTTCAGCCCTTCAAATTTTATAAAGATTGAGAAAGATGAGTCTGGAAGAATTTCCATCCTGTCGTTTTACCTTTATGTGATGTGCACAGTTTCCCTCACTAAAGCGAGAATTGATATGAGCGAGCTTGATGAGGATTCTGATGATTTCCTTCACTCTCATGAAATGGAGGCCTACATTAGAGGTCTTATTCCTAATCTGGCACAACTACAAGGTAGGCCTGCAGCTTTTATTCAAATGAACTGCCGCATAGCTGCACGCAAGTTTTTCTTCTTTTGTGATCCTCACAGGCGAGGTAAAGCATGCATAAAGAAGGTACTACTTAGTAATTGCCTCCAGGAACTCATGGAACTACACCAGGAAAGTGAGGAAGAAGTCACTGATACTGAACAAGCTGAAAACCRGTTCTCATCCGCACAACTGATATGTGATATGTTTCTTGCTCTAGATAAAGTTTTGAATGGGACATTGAGCAAGCAGGAGCTTCGAGAATATGCAGATGGTACATTGACAGAAATATTCATGGAGCGGGCATTTGATAAACGTGTTCAGCATGGCAAAAATGATGGTGGTGGTGATAATGCATGGGAGATGGATTTTGAAAGTTTCCTTGACTTTGTTTTGGCCCTAGAAAACAAAGATACACCGGGAGGATTGACATATTTGTTTCGGTGTTTGATCTCCATGGAAGAGGGTACCTTACAACAGCTGATATCCACACACTTTTCAGAGATGTACATCAAAAATGAATCGAGGGAGGGAACTACAGGCTGCGCATTGAGGACGTAAGAGATGAGATATCAAGATTCCTTAAATTGCATTTGCAGAGAGCACAACAGCACATGGAGTTGGCCTACGACCACAATCACCGAGAGCTTGAATTGGAAGCTGGGCATTGGGTCTATTTGAAGCTCCAGCCTTACCGGAAAGCTTCAGTAGCCCGACGAGTTTGGCATAAGCTAGCTCCTAAGTATTTTGGCCCATTCATGGTGATTGAACAAGTGGGACAGGTGGCTTACAAATTGGAGCTTCCTACTTGCTCGAAATTACACCCGACTTTCCATGTTGGTATGCTGAAGCCTTGCCTAAGCCCTACAACTAAGGTCAGCCCGACCCTTCCGCAATTCACAGAAGACGGGGATATACTGGTTGAACCATGACAAATCAGGAATGTAAGAGGGGTCAAGATAGGCAAAAACTTACACAAGCAGGCCTTAGTCATGTGGAAAAACTTGTCACCAGAAGTTGCCACTTGGGAGGACTATGACAAACTACAAGATCAGTATCCCCATGTCAACCTTGAGGACAAGGTGTTTCTTGAAGAGGGTGGGACTGATAGGCCCCAACTATCTATTCGGGCCCACAACATGAGACCCAGGCCAAGACACACATCAACCAGGCCCAACACAAGAGAAACACCTGATCACCCATGTGCAACCTCCACTGAGGTTCGTTTACGTGAGGAGGCCACGTCCCTCCAGTTAGTTAGCAGTCACAGTCTAGTCCATGTGCAGGAGAAACTGAAGAGAGAGTATAAATAATTGTAACCCCCCATCTATTCGAGGCATGAAATGAAATAATCCTTTAGTCTTCTACCGTCTCTCCCTTCTTCCTCTCTTCCTCTCTCTCTCGTCCATTTCAGGAGGGTGAGCTCCCTCGAACCAGCTCAGATTCTCAGAATTCAAAGTGGTCCTATCACTGTGAATACAGCCATGCTGTATGACATCATGCCTTACATTTGTTCAATGTATCCTGGGTAGAACTCCTGATCTCAAGGCTTTGGTGTCCTCTTGGAGGGTGAAAGCTTTTTAGTACGCAGGGAAGAATCATATGGAATATGATGCCCCAAGCAATTTGTTAGTGCATATGGCGGGAAAGGAATGGAAGGTTTTTGATAATCACACTTCTCCGGTTGAAAAGATGTGTGCAGAAGTTGAAAGGCTAATTGTGAAGTGGGTTTCCATGAACAGTTTATTCGAGGGCTTTAAGTACAATCATTTTTATGGTCATTGGGGGATGATCTTGTGGGATGATGAGTTGGCCTTGTAACACCTTGTTTGCTTTTCTCTGATGCCATTGTGTCTGGCTGTTAAGGGAACCTCTCCCTTGGCGCCCACCTTTATCTTCTGGCTATTAATGAAATTTATCTTATTTCTCAGAAAAAATAGGGCCACTGCAGACCGGCAAACTATGACCAACAAATATAGAAGAAAATGCACCTCATATTGGAAAGCTGTATCTGCAACACAAAACCAACTGGTGCATCGAGGTTCCCTCCTCATGCGCTTCAGCTCCTTCAGCTCCTTGAACTCACGAATAACATTTCTTCTGCAATCTCTGCAAAACCTCTTGCTGTCAAACCTGTGGCATGAACATCAAGGTTTTAAGACTTACAATATTCTAACATTAGAAATTTAGAATACATTTTAGAACATCAATTGGTCCTGTTCTGGAAGGCCACAGTACCAAAGGTAGGGTAAGTTGCTCCTTCTAAAATGGTTTAACTGTTCAAAAGAATTCCAAGTTGGCCATTATTTAGCAGTGGCAGGTGCTACAAGATTCATTTTTATGTGTTTTTTCATTGAAAAAAAAGGCTACCTTTTGCTTTTTTATTGTTAACCTTGAAACTTTATTAATTATGATGAAAGATGTTTCTTTTCTTAACCTTCCCCTTTGATCAATAACCAAAAGATGTTTCTTTTCTTTTGTTTATGGATAATTAAGAACATAGTCTTAAAAGACATTAAGCATATGCCTCTGTGAAATCTGTCCAAGGTTGTACAGATTGGGTCGGAAGGGTGTACCTATTTCGGATTGTTACGAAGTCTCAAATGGTTCTTTGGTATGGGCTCCAAACTTCAGAAGATCTTTACTCGACTGTGAGTTGGAGGAATGTGTGGAGCTGCTGTCTAAAATGCAGTCGGTAGAGATCAATCTGTCAGTTGATGATAGTAGGTGGTGGAAGGATTGCAAGGATGGGAAATTTACAGTCAAGTCAATATACTCAATTCTGATCAGAAATATGGTGGAAGCTGAACCAGTTCAGGGAGTTTGGGAGAAAACTGTGCCCCCAAGAGTGGAAGCTTTTGCTTAGCTGCTATCCAAGGGGTGTATCCTGACTCAGGACAACATTAAGAGCCAAGGCTTTCAATTCCCAAGCAGATGTATCCTTTTCTTATCTGGAGAAGAAAACATATTGCATTTGTTCTACAGGTGCAGCTTCATTTCCTCAATATGGTCCTATTTTTTCAAGTTATTTAAGAGGGGCCGGTGGTCAATTTCAGATCAGGCTGAAATCTTTGGATGATCGCCAAAAGTTCAGGGTGGTTCTAAGGTCAAGATTCTGTGCAGCTGTATTCCTTTCGCAGTGTGCTGGGAAGTTTGGAAGGAAAGAAATAAAAGAATCTTCGAGAACAAGGAAAAAAGTTGGGAAGAGGTGGTGGCTCGAATCAGTTCTTCAGTCATAGGCTGGGTGTTAATCCTGCCAGATTTTCAAGGACTAAAGAAAGAAGATTTTGGGGCAGACTTTTGGAGCTCCTTGAATGCTTAATTTCTGGTTTCTGATGTATTTTGTTAGTAAGTCTGTTCTGTTTTTCTGTTTTCGGGGGGTGGCCTCTTGTCACCTATGAGCTGTAAACTCTTTTTAGTAATATATTTTTTTCTTTATTTATCTTCAAAAAAATGCCTCATGGCAAGGTAGAACCAAAACACCCAGCCTCAAATGTTGTGTGTGTTAGACCTGAGGCTTTCAAATGTTGTGAGGCATTTGCCTTACCACCTTTTGCCTTAAACTGGTGAGATGCATGTCTAATTCAATCAAACTATTAAAATGATAAAAATTATATGATAGATTCCAAAATTCAAGAAAAGTTATAATTACCAATAAAATTGAACAATCCACATCCAAATATTATCTTTCTTAGATAAAAAATATCTATTTCTCTCTTAATTATCAAATAAAAGAGTATTAATGCTTATTCTATACCTCAAGTTGCCAAACATGGGAATATCATATCTATATGTTCTTTTTTTTGTGAAAATATACTCATATGTTCAAGCATTACACAAGATAGTAGGACCCATAAATCTAAAAGCTAAAATGATAGTTACATTTTTGCTTAAATAAAAATTATTATAAATACAACAAAAATTAAATGCAATTGCAAATCTCTTTTTGTCCACTCTCACTTACAAGTCATTTAGCACCAATAAAGAAGTTTTATATAGTGAAAATTATTCATTTCAAGATATTCATAAATTAGCTTATACTAAAAAAAAATAAATAAGAATACACACACACACATAATAAACTGGCTACTTCATTTAGGTGGAGAAGTTTATAAACATAGAATAAAATTTCAAAAGCATAGGATCATATTAAAAAGTATTGGCTATGAAAGAAATAAATAGTAACTCAAAATGCATAAAAAAAACCTCATGTGAGTCTTCAGTGGCCCATGAGAACCATGGTCCTAGTATGGCTAACAGGTCAACTAGGGAAGATAAGTCTATCATTGTCCCGAGTTGGCTACCCGACGTAGGATGGTTCACAAATTGGTTTGAAAAAGGAGGTATTGCAGTGGAGACCTATAGCCTTATCTCAAAAATTCCATGCCAATCGAATCGCATTGGACCAGACTAACCCAAGATATACTAGAGACCAAAAGGAAGGTATTGATGATGCCAATGGAGATTGGGTAAACTGTAGTTCATCAAATGATGAGAACTCAGATTTGGAGACTAGTACGATGATTGGCAGTGTAGGGGAAACTAGTAATGACGAGAGAGAGAGAGAGAGAGAGAGAGAGAGAGAGAGAGAGAGGTATGATATGGCTTTGTTATTTAGAGAATAAGAAATTAATAACACCCAAACTCTTACTTTGACTCCATCGTAAGGGGTGGAAGGTAAATCAGATTTGAACAAGGTCGTTGGGGAAAACCTCCAAAGCCTGAACAAAGAAATTCTAGACCAAAATAGATGTTCTTAGCAGGGTATCCATAAAGGAAGTGAAGAGGATCTTCAATGGCCTAGCAGAGAGACATCAGGTGGGGATAAACGACAGAGTCCTGAGGGTGAACAATGGGTATTATCACAAACAGGAGGATCTTTCCAACAAAACTCTATAGCAGAACCTAGTCTTCAACCTTCCTCTCAGCCATCTTGCTCAGGTACAATGGTCGTTTCAGGTTTGGATACTAACTTCTGCTCTATGCCTGCCAGTTATTCTCTAGGTATTCAGCAGGTTTCATGACTGCAAGCCCGTGTAAATGCAACCCACAGTGTTTATGAAAGGCATGATGAAAAAGAAGGAAATGGGTAAGAAGTTGGATGTGGAGGAGGAAGGCAAAAAAACCTGGAAAATGATAGAGGCTTTATTCGAGGAATTGAAGATGAGAGAATTAGAGGGAGAAGAAGACATAAACGAATTTGAGGAGGGAGGCAATGCTGAAGTGAGGGTTGAGGGAAGTGGGAGAGAACAAAAAGATGTTAGAAAAGGTACAGTGGAGAGAAACAAGATAGTAAGGAAGAGAATTTGGTGGATTTTGCTGGAAAACTTGGATGTAGTGTTAAGGACCCAACTGGCATGAAAACATACTTAAGGAAAAAGGGGGAAGGAAAGGTGAGGAAGATAAGGTTGAGTGAAGTTGAAAATTTGAAGATGGACATTGAAGGTGACAAGGAGTTCAGTGCAAGAAGGGAAAAGGACAAATGGGAGGAAGTAGGAAGGGGAACTTTAGGAGGGGAGCAAAAAGATAGTTAACTATGAAAATCCCAAGTTGGATGGTCTAGGTAGTGCTAGAAAAAGGGCAATCATTAAGAAAGTGGTAAGAAAAGAGGATGCCGATATTGCTATCCTTCAAGAAACCAAATTGGCAGAGTTTGATAGTAGATAGGCAAGAAGTGTATAGAGGCCTAGGGGAATAAGTTGGGCAATGGCTCTATCTTGGGGGTATGGTAACCCTGTGGAGAGAGGAGAAGATGATTGGAACTGAAGAACTTATGGACATTATCCATAAGGTTTTGGCAAGTGGAGGATGGTTATGGATTTTAACAAATCTGTACGGCTTGAATGGATATAGGGAGAGGAATGAATTGTGGGAGGAATATTAGGAGATATAAGAAGATTGTGGGAGGGACCTTGGTGTATTGGTGGAGATTTTGATGTAATCAGATTCACTGAAGAAACAAATAACAGGAGAAAAAGTATTACTACTAGTATGAGAAGGTTTAATCAGTTTATTAATGTCTTTGAGCTTAAAGAATTGCCTCTCTTACATAGTAATTATACCTGGTCCAATCTCCAAGGTAGTCCAATTTTCTCCAAACTCTTTTCAGTGGATTGGGAGGAACATTGGGGTATGTGTCTAGAGATTTAACCAGATTAACCTCGGACCATTGGCCTATCTCTATCTGTAAGTAGGAGTTTGAAGGAAGAGAGCCAACTCCCTTTATCTTTGAGAACATGTGGTTGTGTCACCTGGGCTTTATTCAGAAGATTAGTGGTGGGGGGAGAGCAATAGAAGAGCTGATTGGAAAGGGATGAGACTTCACAGGAAGCTGAAAGAATTAAAACCCAAGATCAAGGATTCGAACATTTTGGAGTTTGGGAGGATTGAAGAGAGGAAATGTACACTGATTAATCAAATTGAGGAATTGGATAAAGAGGAGAGGGGTACTTTTGAGGAAGAAGATAAGGAGGCTACATGGTCCCTGAGGAAACAACTGGAAGATGTACTTCATAAAGAGGAAATAAGTTAGAGACAGAAGTCAAGGCACAAATGGATTAAGGAGAATGATAGAAACACTAAATTTTCCATGCATTGGCAATTGGCAAGAGGAGGATGAATCACATCTCAAGATTATTAGTCAGTGGAATCTCTATGACACATCAGAGTAAGATAACTAGGGCATTCAAAGAGCATTTTAGATCAATTTATATAAGGCCCTTGAAGGAAAAAGTGTGGCTTGTCTTGAATGGTCAAGGATTCCAAATGAAAATAAGATTTGGTTGGAGAGGATATTTGAGTAGGAGATTAGGGAGTTTGTATTCTCAATGGAATGCAAAGCCCCTAAGCCAAATGGTTTCACAATGGCCTTCTACCAAGATTGTTGGGACATGTTGAAAGAAGAGTTGTTGGAAGTGTTTGATGAATTCTATCAAAGAGGAGTAGCTAATCCAGCCCTCCTTGTAACTTCGTCATAAAAAATAACCCTAATGATTTACTTGCTTCCATCTCAGCATTCACCATCTATCCAAATTGATAGCTCGCTGAATTGTATGAGTTTCACCTAAAAAGACCTCTCCACCTTAATCATTCTCGTTTGAAATATTGCCTTCACAATCTTCAATTTCATCTAAAGGTTTTGTTCTGTACCTTCTTTTCCTACTATACATTTGGATGATCCCATTGTCCAACCTCTCGTCCCCAACACCCAACACCCTAGCACTTAAACCTTCTCCTATCTCCTCACTCAAATCCACAATTTGCATCACCTTTGGGTCTATTCTTCAACCCTAGCCCCCAACTCCAATTCCTCATCTTCCTCCAAACATCCCGTTACTTCCCCACACACTTGGACCTCATCACCATTTCCCCCCTCATTATCCCTAGACCCACCCTTATTCCCCCCCCCCCATAAAAATTACCAGACTCCTCAATCACCAAACTCTCACCTACCTCCCTATTCTTCATCACAGAATCAAAATGCTCTTTGACAAATACCCCCCCCCCTTCTATTTTCAGAAACAGAATTACTAACCTCCACTAGAAAGTCGAAGAATTTACCATTGATCCAGATCTGTCAACCCCACACCCAACCTTCAAGCTGCCAATCTCATCTGGGACATTATCTTGTTCATCATCAGCTTCACAGATGCTCTCCACATTCTCCTCCACAGCCTGAACCTCAAGCCCTGATGAGCCTTCCTTGCACTTCTCTAAAGTTGGAATGTTTGAGACCTGAACCACTGAAACCTTCGTCTTATGAAACTCCAAAGCAGCTTCCACCACATGGTCTACCTTCTCTTTCTCCCTCTGCCCGCATCTACCCCAAAACCGATCTTATCTTGATCATCTTCCTTCCCTTTGACTTGTATATCCTTGGATTGCAGAGTGTTGGGCAATTAAGAAACAATATGTCTAAAAAATGAGTGTGGCAGAAATGCATATGCTGACATGTATGACAGTATGAGTGGGAAAAGCTGGAAAGGATAGTGTTAGAATGAAGTCGTTCGATGGAACCTAGGAGTAGGTCCAATAGGTGATAAAATGAGAAAAAGTAGACTAAGATGGCTTGGTCACATGCATAGAAGACCACCTACAGAACCCATAAGAAGAAGTGATCTGTTGCAAGTTGAACGGGCTAGAAAGGCTAGGGGCAAACCAAAAGGGACATGGATCAAAATAGTAAGAAATTATTTTAAGTGCACGTAATTTAACAAACAGATGACATTAAACAGAACGGAATGGCGAAACAGGATCCATATAGCCATTACCCAACCCCAAATAGTTAGGATAAGGCTTGGTGATGATGATGGTGATGAACCTTAGAGATACAGCAACCAACTAGCCAACAATTTGGTTGTATGATAAGCATCTGCAAATCGTACAGTCCACCATATAAAAGCTCAAAGTCCTCTGAGGTCTCACTTTCCCAGGCCTACAATCAAAATTCTTCACTGCCAATAATTCGGATTAGCTTGTGAGTGATTTTAAATGGTTTCAGATGCAATAACAGAAAAATAGTTGTCTATCAAATACTAAAAGTAAAGCCTTTATTGTCATTCTTGCAGTGCTGTCACTGTAAGGCAATTAACTTCATAGTTCACATTAGAGCTTTGAACAACCATAATGAGCTTTTTCATGTCAATTACTCGTATGAATTTAAAAACTAGACACAGCACTAGGTAATTGACAGAACAGAACACACCTATACATGAGCTTCTCAATAAAATCCTCTTCTTTCATCCGTAGAAGTGATTGCCGAGTTTCATCTCCAAGTGCTGACCAGAAATCCACAAGAGTATCACAAGAAAGTCTGGCTGTGTGCAGTGCACATGTTTCCCTAGTTCCATGCCCCCTGCCATAATTAACAACTCCTTGGCTCATCCATCCCCTACCTCCCCCACCACAGGCATCAGGATAAAGCAATTCACGCTCCCGTTCCCTTGCACGTGCACTGTCAAAAACCTAAAACAGAAAGGAAAATGTCAAAACTACGTAAAAGACTTAAGTACAAAACAAAACTAGGGTCCACTTGGATTATCAAGATTTGTATACAGACATTTTGCAGTGGCTTGAGTGACTTTGCCTCTATAAAGCAGTCTAGAATTGTCAGTATCCCATCCCGAGTTGCAGCCAGACCACCCCAAGGGTGAACAGATGGATCTTGGATGTCATCTTGGCAGCATGAAGGCATTATATTCAATACACCATCATTCTGATTTCTCAGGGCTCCTGCTCTGCTGCTGGGAAGGTGTCCAATCACACCTTCCTGCTGCAAGGACTTCCCATACATGACTATCTGTGAAAAACCTTCAAGCAGCAAACCATTGCATCTAGAGCAGTAAAGGTTCTTACGAGCTTGTTCAAAAAGCATCTGCTTATCAATCCTGAGAAGCTCTTGTCTAGCATGGGGTGGTAGCTCACTCCAGAACTGCACCACAAGTACAGAACATGTCTTTAGTGTCCATAGCATGATCAGTCTCTTCAACACGCTATGAATTAAACAATGTCACAAACAAAAGGGCAGCAAAAGTAATCTCTCCTGCATTATCTCTAAAACTAAGCATTTTGCTATTGTAGACTGTCCAGCTCCAATCCTAACTGCAATGGTGAAGACACCAACATAAACACAAACCACCTTTGATCACTGGTTTTAGAAATAATGGCTATAAACAGGAACCTCCTCTGATCACCGATTTTAAGTAAGCAAAACGAAAAATAAAAAATAAATAAATAAAGGAAATGGCCATAAACAGGAACCTCCTCTGGACGCTGGTATCAAATAAGTAACATGGACAATTGATCAGGAATGAACAAGGCCTCCTAGAATAAGGTTTTCATCCCGTGGAATCTGCAAATCGCTGGAAGAGAATAGATGCATAAGATTATAAAAGGTTGACATTAATGCAATGGATCCAGTGAATAGAAGAACTCGCAAATCTGATTGCTGTAGTCGTCCATATGTTATGTTCATCATGCAAGCAAACAGACCTAACACTCCGAGAACACTCTCAATCTATCATTTGAAGTTTCTATCCAATTGAAGCTCTGATTGTCCAACCTTGTTTCGTACAGAAACTAATAGATTACTAGAATTTAGTAGGAACAGAATTAAAACAAATATCATTATAACTGAAAATGGAAAGTCTGAGACCTTCTGAAGCTGATCGAAGGTAACGTCATCGCGATGCTTCGACCAGATTCCATTTGTCGATACCGATCCGGCGGAGCACGACGACGAATATAACAAAGATGAAGCATTGCTGAATTGAGCATTTCTCTGCACTAGACCGGGCATCTTCAGGTTCTGAAAGCTATCCTTCTAAATCCTTCCATCCCTCTTAAACTCCACCGGATTCAGCGTCCGATACAGATCGAAAACCGATCGACAGACCAACACCGATGCAAAGCCAATACCAACAAATGCGCGGTTCGACGCGCAAACGGCGATTGAGCGCTATGAGATCAAAATCCAATGGTTTCTGATTGAAATTAATTGATCACTAGCTGAATCCGATGATTTACTGATCAAAATCCAACGATTTTATTAGATCGGAGGCTCAGACGGTGGAAGAAGAATCGAGAATTGTAGAGATATTTAGGAGAAAAGAGGCGTCGGAGGGGTTTTTGTTGATGGGATTTGGTGCTTTGTGTATTTGTATTGTATTGTAGACTGAGACTCGACCTCGATAAAGGACACCCCCGATCGTGGGGCACGGTTAAAAGCTGAACGAGAGAGAGAGAGAGAGAGGCTTCTTTCGTTAAACGACTTCAATATATCTTACAGGGTCAAAAAGATAATACGAAGAAGGGAAAATACACTTATTTCTGTCATGTTATATTGTTATGCCCGAAACAGAAATGGGCGAGGAACAATACACCCAGGACTGCAGGAGTAGAATTAGTATTGGGTACCCATTAGTATTTCTCCCGTTCTAAACAGAGAAAGGAAAAAAACCAGCGACTTCAGTTTCAAACTGAGTGGCGGATCCGATCTAACGTGCGCGGCGCGGGCAACAAAGGCGGTAGTTACCCACTTACCCGCGTGGTTTCTGGTCTTTTGGCTGCGCCCACCAAGTGCAAGATAGTAAAAAAATGGTGAAACCGTGAAAGAGAATAACCTGCGCTTCCATGAGACGGGGAGTGTGCTTCGCGCTGCCCACTGTATTGTCCTCGGAGTATTTAACCATTTATGGTTAAAAAAATTCTCAAAATTATTACTTGCCTTGCGATTGTTGCCGCCTGCATTGCCATCATCAGTTAATCACTGCTATTAAAGCAGTGGCCAGTGGGACCCTCCTGAATAATCTGTAGAAGAAGATTGATTCCAACGATAACCGGACAACCGTAGCATTCGTCATAGAACTGGGGCGTACAATGCTTTTCCCTAAACTTGTATGTTATGGGTGCATAGCATAGCATAAAGCCATAAAGCTATATCTCGGGCATGCATATTTACCCAAAAAAATCTCGGGTATGCAGAAGATCTGGTCCAGATTTGAGGAAGGGTATGATACCGGATGAATAGCAGATGATTGTGGTGGTACGTCGATAATATCGTATTGCAAATAACATGGAATCAGCATATTGTTGTTTTCAAAAAAGAAAATAAATGGCTTTTTTGGAAATATAAGATGGGACTAAATCAAATTATTGTATGAGAAAAAATATGGTTAAGAAGGGATTGGATGGACAGAATAATGACACCGTATATAATGGGAAGATTAAATAGCCGAAAATGACACGAAAATTTGCCGTTTAAGATAGAATTTTCCGATACTTCAAGGAACTGCAGCCGATCAAATTGACAACTAAATAAATAGATAAATAATTGTAGCAATTGACAGAGAAAAAAAGAAATATGGAAAATAAAAGCCATTACGCGGGGTGTGATGGTACTGTCATTTTGATTTTTGACAACGGATGAGGAATGGTGATTTGACTGATTTCACCCGGGCCCGCCAGCCAAATTTTCAGGTTTGGGCCGTGTTCAAGCTGGTTTGAAACATTTTGTGGGCCGAGCCTAAGTTCAATATTTCAGGTCCGGTTTGTTTGATATTTTTTTCGTACGTGATTCGAATTTTCTTTTAAAAAAATATTATTATAAAAATGAATTTTTGGCTCTAATAACTAATAACATTTTAATTTTGTAAAAATAATGTACTCCAGACCCTAAAAATTGATAAAAAGTCATTTTTAACCTCAAACTATGATGGAAATGGTATGTTAATCCATAAGAGAACAACATTGACATCTCTGTTAAACAATGCATAAAATAACAAAACATGCTTAGGTGGCAATACTCATAAAAAAAAATAAAAATGAAAAAGAAAACTGTAGGCCACTTGGACCCAATAGTTTGAAAATGCCACTTTAATGGAGTTAATTAAGTAAATTACTTCAAGGTCTATGGTGGCATAAAGTTAATTAAATAAGTCTAATCTGATATATCAGCCCATGACATTTTAAAAAATAATATATATATATATAAATGACCCAAAAACCCTTCACCTGGTCAAACGGTTTAACAGTTTCAACAACGATTTGACCATGCAATTAAGCAAAATAAGTAAACTGAGCTAAGTAAATGGAGCAATTAAAGAAATTAAACTAATTAAACTAAATAAGTAAATAAAGTCAACTAAGTGAATTAACCAATCGATTAAGCCAGTTAAGCTAAGCAAATAAAGTAATTAAATTAAGGGAAAATTCCCGATAGGTACCTTGTATTTTATGTCGAGTGCCAATTTAGTACCCAAACTTTAAAACGATTTCGGGAATGGTTACTATTTTGTTAAATCCACTTATTTTCCACCTTTAAAGTCTCGATCTGATTACGATTTCTTTTGTCGGGAACATTTGAGACTGACCAAGGTGACTTGGGAGCTAGATCTTCAACCATGAACTTTCAAACCAGGGGACAGCTGGGTGGGTTCTTGATTTGGAATGCTGGAAATTGCAAATCAACATTGCTCCTTGCAATGACGAGATTGCATCGTAAAACTAGGAGTTTGGGGGAAAGAATCATGGAGGATGACGACAAGGAGACGAGTCCTGGCCATCAGATATCACGATTCGGCCTATTTCGCTGTGGATTTAATCTCCATTTCCTTGTCTCAGCAGACCTTCATCGTTGTCGCAGATGATGATGGGAAATTAATTAGGGAGATCTCCCCATACACCCTGGCAAGCTATGACGAAACAGTCGTAGCGGCAATTACAACCCTCTCAGCGGACAATTTAATGGCTTACATTGAGTACGACAGCCCGCCGAAATCCCTGGTGTAGGTGGTGAAGGCAAGGTTGAAAGAGTGGAAGTGGGAAGGAATGTTGGAGTTGTTGGAGGAATTCTCCCCGTCATCGTCGTCATTGTGTTCATCAAACGAGGAGTCCTCTTCGTCGTCGCCAAGGGCGCCGCTGCGGTCGCACAAGTATAGCCAATAGGGAAGTTACTCGACGAGGATGGTGGGGAGAGAGGAGGCATCTCTCTCCACCAGTGCTTCATCAGTGAAGTAGTTAAACAAGTACGTAATTGTGGAAGGTTGGGAGTTTACACAGAGGAATAAGGTTGTGAGTTTACACTTGAAGGATATTTTTGTCTTTTTGCATGCTATTTTATGGCTGATTAACGTCGGGTATTAAATTGTCGCAAAATTAAAGTTCGGGCACTAGATTGTCGCGTTTTAAAGTTTGGGTACTAAATTGACACTCGACCTAAAGTATAGGGTACCTATCAGGAATTTTCCCTTAAATTAAAGAAATTACCCTAGTTAGGATAATTATGCAAATTAATCCAGCTATGTAAATTAAGAATTAAATCAGGCCTTGACAATACCACTAAGAATTACCTCTTCTGACCAAAATGTCAAATGAAAGTTAAAGCACATAATGTGCTGATAGGAAAAAAAATCAAAGCTCACCTTAAGGCTCCGTTTGGTTTATGGGAAGATTTGGGTGGGATGGGAATGTGTAAAAATTTAACTTTCCATTGTTTGGTTTATATGGGAAAAGTACCGTCATTTTGCCATAATGAAAGAGAGATGGGAGTGCTGAGAAAGCAGATTGTTGTTGCTGAGGGTTGTAGTGGCGATCAGAGAAATAAGGAAAATCAAAGGGGAGGAAGACGGGAAGAATAGGAAGAAGAAGAAGAAGGTGAGGGAGAAGAGAGAAGAGAAAGATGGAAGGAAGAGATAGAGATATGGAGAATTTTTCTTTGAATTCTCAAGGTTATTATTTTCTTATACTTCTGTTTTATTTGGTTAATATTAAACTCCAAGGTTCATAACCTTTGTTTTTGGATCGCTTCTTTGTTCATTCGAACAACGTTAAATTTGTTCTAGAGAATTACTTCATATATAGAGAAAGAAAAAGGAAGAAACTTGTGGTTCACACACTAGGGTCAAATTGTAGAAGTAATGGGACATTTATCAAACCTGTTCGATGGTTTGACAAGGTCTCTTTTCTATCAAAAGAGGAAAGAGTTGTGGGAATAACGCTGGACTGGGAGCTGCAGAAGCCATGGCTAAAGAAGCTAAGAAGAATGACTTGATATTGGTTTTATATGGGAAAAGTGCTGCCATTTCGTAGGAATGAGAGAGAGATGGGAGTGCTGAGAAAGTAGATCTCCACTGCCAAGAGTTGCAGTGGCAATCAAAGAAAGAAGGAAAATCAAAGGGGAGGAAGACAGGAAKAATAGGAAGAAGAAGAAGATGAGGGAGAAGAGAGAAGAGGAAGATAGAGGGAGAGACAGAGAATAGATCGGGAGAGGAGATCATTGTTCCTATGTCGTTCCTTTGCCACCGCACTGGTTCTCTTGCTGGTTCGTCGTCATTTCTCACCTTACCTGTCTTGGTGCGACTGTGGTAACTTCATCACTGGTTCGTCGCCTTACTCCAGTTGAAGAAGAAGGCACATCCCACGAATGAAGAAAACTTGAGTTTTCTCGAATTTTTCCACCGGGGTTGCACTATTTTGGTGCGACCCCAATTGCACGATTTTGGGATCCTGTATCCTACGTTTTTCTCATCCCATCCCCCTATTTCCCTCAAAACAAATAAGATAAAAAGGAATATTTTTGGAATATTCCCTTTTTCCCATCCCCAACCCACAAACCAAACGAAGCCTAAAAAAACATACCTTTTGGGAAAGTAAAGTAGATTTAACAAAAAGAAACACAACATTTGTTCTTCCTATCTAGAAATGAACATAGGAGATGTGTTGAACAATCACCTTATGTCAATTACATACTATACATGGTAAGCAATATTTAGGAGTAAAATTTACAATATCATTAACCCCGACTAGTTAATTTGTGTTTGGGATCCAAACAGGCAGGTTTAATAGAAGTTAAAAATTATGTATATTAGGCTCAGTGTGGGGAGAGTGCAAATATAAGGTTTAGAAATACCATGTACAAGGTTTTGCAAATGTACAAATTTGTATTTACACTCATCCCAAATTAAGCCATAGGCTGCATTTGGAAACGATGCAAATGAAGTGTAAATCCCGATTCAGGGTAAATTTGCACCATGGTTCACTTTTGCCTGTGTTTGGCAACATTACATTTATGCATTGATAAATGCCAGAAAACACATTTTCCAATGCATATTTACATTGATATTAAGACGTAAAAGTACATAAATAAAAAGGAAGTAAATTTGCATTGAAGTGGGTTTTTGATAAAAAAGGCATATGCTTTATTAGAATTCATGTTTGCATCCATTACATCTAAAAGTCAGTTTGGTAAAAAGGTTAATCTGTCACTACGAAACTAACCCAACTTTGCAATTTATATGGACCGTTTTACACTCTACATATTTGCATTCACACTTATTTGCATCATTTCCAAACGCAACCTTGGTTGCAATGCAAATGCAAATATGTACACTACATATTTACCCATTTTTTGGTTCATGAATGCAAACATGGTTCACATTTTAAACCATTTTTGCATTCATCTTGTTTGTTTGAAATCGGTGCAAAAGTGTGGGCCCATCATTAAATGCTCCAATGCATTAACTTCGGGCAAAAAGTTAATTATCAAAATAACACAAAATTGTATCAAAAAA